CCCTCCCTTTCCCCCCCCCCCAACAAAAAAAATAAAAATAAAAAAATAAACAGAATCAAGCCAAGTGCAGGTAATGTGGAACATTCCCCTCTTCCCCCCTTCCCTGCCCCACTCCCCTCTCTCGCCCCCCAAGACAACAAAAGTGTATCCCCCTGGTATACTGTGCATCTGTGGGCAGTGGTGTCAAACAGTGAGGTTAGAATGGCCAGGCCCTAAGGGCGTCGTTAGACAATCCTTTTGAAATCCTCAGGCAGTAGGAAAAATTCCTAATGGTTCAAAAGGAAATTTGGGCCGTTGTTCCACCTGTCCTCGGGGACGTCGCCCGAGGACTTTCCCTAAGAGCAATGTCAAAAGAAAAAAGAAACCAAAARAAAAAAAACAGTTGTGCTTCAGGCCTTCAGCCAATAGGGTGCCGCCACTATCCAGATTCTCAGCTGTAATGTCTCTCTACGCATGTGCCCTCTCCTCTCCGTGAAACGCGGATTCCTTGTGCCCAAGGGACCTCACGAGGTCCATTGCTCGGGCAATAGGAAGAAATGGCTGGGGAGAGTCCTATTGCCTGAGGAATTTCCTTACGGGTGTTTTCACTTTTTTTTTTGATTGCAGGTGGAACAAACAATTCCTTGGGGATTTTGCGCCCCCCAGGAGTGTCTAGCGAGCCCCTAAACTCACATGAGCTTAACAAATACAAGAGACGTCAAAACATGACCGTATACGTAACACAAATTTGTGATTATGTGGTACTGCGTGGTCACACTGGTGTGGGGTGGTGGGGTATGGCTGTTCTTAGGGCATACTCACGTCCCCTGCAATGCTAGTGGTGCTGACAAAACCAGACACCACTAGCACCCGGGGAGAGGCTCCATCTATTGGTGGGGAGCATCACCTGCTGGAAAACGGGTCCAGCGTCCCATTACAGAATGAAATGCAGAATGAATACAGGCTGGATCAAGAGAAGATGACTGTGAAACCTGCCAGCATTGATGACTCTGGCACCCAAAGGATTGACTGTGCAGGTTGCAAAGGGAGGGGAGGAGACCTCTTCGCCCTAGTACCAGGCACCAGACATCTGCGCCGAACTCGAAAAGGCAATAAAAGCACCGCGGCGATGGCTGTCGCAATGAACGTGGAAGCTGTCATTTCGATGTTGAAGATGACATCCATGACAGTGACAGCATACTTGTATACACAGTTACAACACAACAAAGAACGTCCATCTGTGCGCACACACACACACACACACAGAGAGAGAGAGAGAGAGAGAGAGAGAGAGAGAGAGAGAGAGAGAGAGAGAGAGAGAGAGAGAGAGAGAGAGNAGAGAGAGAGAGAGAGAGAGAGAGAGAGAGAGAGAGAGAGAGAGAGAGCTTCGTGGCATGCACACACGACAGACAATCACCAGGAAGACGTGATGTCATCCGCTACATCGATTGGCTGAACACAGTGGGCATGGAACACACACACACACACACACACACAGAACAGGAGATCGGGACGCGCCACTGGCGATGGCAACCGTCGTCGTCCGTCCATCGCCCCACGTGCGGACGACCACCGCTCTCCAATCGACACGCCCCTCACACACACACACACAAAAAAAAAAAAAAAAAAAAAAAAAAAAAAAAAAAAAAAAAAAAAAAAAAAAGGTCCAGGCCTCGCACAACGCTAGCAGCCACCGGGACCCCGCCCAAACGTTAGTCCGGACCGGAGGCCGAGCAGGCCACAAGTGGAAACGGTAACGAAAAAAAAAAAGCCGTAACGTTTCCAAAACGAAAAAAAAAAAGCCACCTTCGAAGGTACCACGGGACACAGGCTCGGCAAAACTCGGAGCGCAATGATATTCAGGGTCGGCAAAAACAGGCTCGGAGGTACTTAAAAACACACACACACACACAAACGCAGTTCCCTTCTTTCCGTTGTTGCCAGAACAGGGTCCGGGCAGGAAAATAGTCACAGATATCAGTGAAGTCACCCTATCAAATATGCCCTCAAATACTCCTTTGCAGGGCTTTAGGTTGTTTTGACGGCACTGCGTTATTGACGGAATCTGGTCGTACCTTTGTGCAGATACGTGCCGGAAAATGCCGGTGTGAGTGTGCCCTAAGAACTCGCAGCAGCTATGGCGGATGCCATCCAAGTGCGTTTGCTAGGGACAGAGGGTACGACTGCCCTAACTGTACGAGGATTGACCACGTTCCATGAACGCGAGTGGGGGACCTCTTCTTCAAGCCGCACTTTTACCGGAAGGCGCGCTTTGGGGTTGCCATCGACGTTGTCATCATCACTTTTTTTCACCATATCCCCATCATCGTCATTATCACCTTCCTCATTGCTAACTTCATTGTCACGGTCATCATCGTCATCGTCGTCATCATTCTTGTCGCCGTTGCGGCTATGGCGGCTTCGGGCATGCCGGCGCCGTCTTCATCATCAACATACTAGTAATTACGGCCATGCGTGGGTTGTAAGTACCCCACCACCGTACACGTGGAGCGATCCCGGCCTGTGCAGACTACCTGATGACGTGTCACGATCACAGACGTCGTCGCATCCGGCCACGTCAGCACTATCATCATCATTGTCGCCGTCATTATCAGGTGCGTGCCAGTCTGGCGTGCAGTGGGGCGAGAGACGAGAATGGTGTGGGGGAGGGAGGAGGAGTAGGCAGCGGCAGCGGCGGCAGCCGCGTGCCTCGTCGGGAGATGGTGACAACGGTAATTCTTCATCATTAGGGAATATGGAAAGACCGATCTCGATCCCGACCCCCCCGTCGTCCGTACCGCCGCCGGCACCGTCGTCCGACATGTCATCTTCTTCCAGATTGTCGTCGTCTGACGAGTCCACGTCAGCAAAACCGGATCCCGACAGAGCGACAACGATGGCCGCAATGGTGTCTGACGTGGCCGCTAAGGTCGGTCGCGCACTATGGGGGCGGGGATTGCCGCCTTCGCTGATGGTCGACGCAGCATCGGCCACGTGGGCTACGGCTTGGCGCGTAATGATGTCCCAGCTGGCCCCGAGCAAACCGGACGGCTCGTACAGCCGCCCGGACTACGTGTTCCGTTCCAGGATCAAACGCGGGACCAGGTTCGAACCAGAGGCGGGAAGGTACCATCTCTACGCTGCGCTGACGTGTCCATGGGCCCACAGAGTGCTCATCGTGCGTGCAATCAAGGGACTGGAAGAAGCGATCCCTGTCTCCATTCTCACACCCGGACCGGGAGGTTTATGGGCGTTCCAATCTTCTGTTCCTGGTCCACAAACCCCGGGAACCCTCCGGTTAAACCCCGAACCTGGTCCAATTACCGGACCTAATCTCCACGTCAAAACGCCTCCTCACGCTAACCCCGGTTCGAACCCGAACCTGGCTGTTCCTCCTGGCTCAACGAAGGCGTCGGACCTCAGTCTTTCTCCTTCTGGAGGGCCTGGATTCGCTGCTGAACTTACTACTAGTTCAGCGATGGCGGCGGCGGCCGCGGCCGCGGCGGCTGCTGGTGGTGGTCCTGGTCCCGATCCCGGTCCCGATCATGCGCTCTCCGGTGGTGCCGGCGGCGCGCAACGTATTGTCCCCTCCGTTGACCGAATTAACGGTTGCAAACGCCTGATCGACGTGTATCGTCTGCGGAAGGGTGGGTTCTCCGGACGTGCCACTGTGCCTATGCTCTGGGACTGCCGAGAATTTGATGTCGTCAACAACGAGAGCTCGGAAATTATCGAAATTTTAAATGACGAGTTCAACGAGTGGGCACGTGCGCCTGATCGGGATCTCAACCCGGTCCACTTGCGCAAAGAAATGAGCCAGTGGAATGACTTAATTTATGAGAACGTCAACAATGGCGTGTACAAATGCGGTTTTGCGACGTCGCAGAGAGCGTACGAGGCAGCCGTTGATACCCTCTTCTCCACGCTGGATCGGCTTGATGGCCATCTGGCCACGAATCGGTACCTGTGTGGGGACCACCTCACCTTGGCTGACGTCAGACTCTTCACCACGCTCATCAGGTTTGACTCGGTGTATTCTATTATTTTTAAATGCACCCGCCAGCGGATTACCGACTACGAAAACCTCTCGGAGTATGTAAGAGACATTTATCAGGTGAGCAATAAAAAAAAAAAAGTCAAAAGAAAGTCTTGCGGCTTGACTCTTGACTCTTTTTTAATTCTTGCCATTTTTTTTTCTGTTTTTTTTTTCCCTTTTTTTTCTTGACTCTTGACTCTTTTTTAATTCTTGCCATTTTTTTTT